GAAGGCAATCCAGAATCGTTTAAAGCAAAGCTCTGAGAGAATGTGAAGGGCAGACAGAGGGAAGCATATTTCACTTGATGATCAAAATAATTCCCAGAGCTGTATAAAATCACCCCCCTCCCCCCTTCACATCCAGGGGAGAGGAAACAGATGCAGATGAAGGTCAAAGGAGATCTGTCTGTGTGGTAATAATAAAGATCATTATCATCAGGGTAGAAGTCTTCACAGTCACAAGTCTTAACCACAAGGTTAAGGCGTAATGACTTTTATATGAGGATAAAAGTATAATAAAATTCTAAGAGGGAGCACATTACTCTGACACCTAAATCCCTTTGCTACAGTATGTAGCTTTGATTAAAATAAAGAAGATATTTCTGTACTTATTTTACTTGGATTCTAATTTGGTCTCTTAATTTTAAGCTTTTTATCTTCTATTTTTTTCTTTATTTGGTCTTTAAAGCACCTCTTTTTACTGATAGCTGGAGTCAAACCATAGTAATAAAGCTCAAACCCTTGCAGTTAATTTTTACTATCTGCATACACAGTGGGGCCAAAAAGTATTTAGTCATCCACTGATTGTTTAAAGTCTCCTCCTTCCATCAGTGAGAGCATTGAGGATTGAACTAGGCTGGGTTTCCAGCTGGAAAAGCTCAGACAACATAGGACAGGCTCTGTTAAAAGAATATTTCAAGGTCCTAAAGTGGCCCAGTCTACACACTGAAGGGAGTTGAACATCTGTGTTACCTGGCGCCAGTCTCCAAACTCCACTGCTCTAGAGATCTGATGGAGAAATTGACCAAAATACACGCTGCAGTGTGAGCAAACCCGGTGAAGACTGACTGGAAATGTTTGCCTTCTAACACCAACAAAGGTTAGCAGTACAGTCTGAACATCGGTATCAACTAGCATTTATTTTAGCAATAAAAAACAATTAAACTTTGCTCTTTCCTCAACTTCAATCAGAATATCATCTGCATAAGAGCCACTATTTCAGATATCTACAGATCAGGATGTTTGTTTGTTTTTTAAAATAGCAAACATAAAATCGGGAGCATTTGATTCACTCTTTAAGTACAGAAGGGAACTTCATTTAATATTTTACATTCATTATTTTTTTATTGTCCAGACTATGCAAGGCTTGGGGACAGGGTAACACTTTACAGTAAGATACACAAAATGTAATTTACTTCTAACAAAAACCCAAAGAACTACCGGTAATAAGTGTCAGGATTTGGTTGTGGGTTGAGGACCCAAATGCAGAGGTGAGTTTTGTAGATTTAATGAAAGCTAAACAAACGACTGAGGCAGGAATCCAAAAAAATCCAAAAATCCAACAAGAAAAAGGTAAAACAAACCAGAAACCATGGAGACTTCAGGGGGAAACAATCATGACGAGTTAAGACACAGTAAGACGGTGTTGAACGAAGTTAGACGAGGAACCAGCACTGAGGAACTGCACAAGGAGAAGATTTATGGGAGACTGAACAAAAAGAGGACTAACGAGCAGATTGGGAGCAGGTGTGAACAGAGCAGACTGGGAAGGAGCTAGGGAAAAAGGAGAACACAAGAGGGCAACAGAGGGCAACAAATAAAAACCTGAGAACTGAAACATAACCAGAAAACACAACGAAATAAGAATTAAACCAATAAAACTAGAAAACATGGAGCAAAGTTAAACTGAATACTCAAAAGAAGATATAACAGAACCAAGACTGTGACAATAAGTAACTAATGGGCGGTTAGCCATTACGCACTGGGGAACACCCAGTCCAGTCTGATTATGGGACTACAGCTTAGTTATCTGGTAAACACAGAGTACCCTGGAGTCTTAAATTATCAACTTCTTACCTATAAGGCTTATATTGACAATTGTGTTAAAAACTCAAACATACACTGGGCTGCTTCTTTAACAATAAAACCTGTTTTTCATTTAAGGCGAAATAGCAGGATGTCACAGAAACATTTTTTATTGCTTTACATTATAGAGACTTGCTGTACACAAATCCTTCAGCTCCATGTCTATATAACATTTACTCTGTTTATCATGCTTCTCTGAATTTCATAAGATCATGAGATGTATTCTAGAGTGGGAGAATTTTCCTTTTCCACCGGACTGGTACTTTACATATAAGGCCATGCGTGGTATTTTTCTCTCATACATATGTTCTTTGATTACCATGAAAAGCGTTGCTTCCTATTCTTTGCATTCTAATAATTTGTTGCTCTCTGTTCCATTTGCATGGACTAAATTGGGTTAAAAAAGAGCTTTTGTTTACTCTGCACCTCCAACATGGAGTGCATTGCAAAAAGACTGGAAAATGAACTTTTTTCATTGAGCATTTAAGTCCAGGTTGAGAACATTTTAAACGACGTCGTCAAAATGTGGTTGTTTTTCATAATCTACCTGTTTACCTGTGTTTTTATTTTTTAAACTTCTGATGCCTCTTGGCCAGGACAACCTTATAAAAGAGCATTTTTTTTTATTTCAAAGGGTCCTTCCAGGCTAAATAAAAAAAATTAAATAAAATGTACAGTAGCCCCATGATAAGGCTGGGCTGAGTGTCCCCCTGTAAGAACTTGTTAACCGTTCCTCATGTGTTCCCTTGGCACTCTCTGGAGGTTAATCACATTTTCTGTAAAGTGTTAACACCTGACCACTAAAGGACGAAAGACTTTCAGCGGAACCTGCTCTGCTTCACAGCTATGTTCTGTGTTCATTTCATTTTGCTCTGGTATATTTAAAACTTTACCAGATATGCTGCATGTTGAGTTAATGCTGCAGTCCCTGATGATTGTGCTTGGAAAAAATTAACAAATTGTCAAAATCAAAGTTTAGCTTGTGCCTTTATTACAGCAAAAATATATTTTTTTATGTTTTCGGAAAAAGCATTAGTCCCATTGACTAAAATATGACCGGAGGAAATCATTAGATTCCATTTGTGTTTTTAACTCACTAGATAATAAATTGATATTGTCCCAGAAGGTCTACAAACCTCTTTCAAAGGATGTTGATGATTTAATCTTATTTTTTTTTTTTGAATGGTTTTTTGTTTGTTTTGTTGGTCCAAAAACATGACTGTTAGGTTAATTGGCTTCTCTAAATTCTCCTTAGCTGTGAGTGTGTGCGTGAATGGTTGTTTGTCCTGTTTGTCTCTGTGCTTCCCTGCAATGGACTGGCGACCTGTCCAGGGTGGACCCCGCCTCTCGCCCATTGACAGCTGGAGATAGGCAGCAGCACCCTTCGCAACCCCAGCAGGGATAAAGTGTGATGGAAAATGTATGAATAGATGGTCCTCTTCTGCTTGTTGATTAACAGTATGCATGCATGATTACGTAATCCTGGTCTCATGATGTTATCATGATAAAACAGAGATGGTATATTCACTAACAAATTGACCCAAAAACTTAATTCAAAACTAAACTTAATAGACAAATTTAACAAATAATTTGCTACACCTACTCTGCTGAGAGATGGTTTTTCCAGCTTAACAAAGATGGCTTCCTTAACCCCTCACTGAAACCATCTGTCTTAATTGGCCAGAATATGGACATCGTTGCCCTCAAACCAATGTCTTTTAGCCTTCAGGTGTAGGTGAATAGCTGAATCCTGTCCTGAGGAGTCGGCTTTCCTGTGTTGAGCCATGCACCTGTGTATCGCTTGCTTGGTCCCTCCAATGTTCAGGTCTGTGCTCTTTTCACTACACTGACTGGCATTCAGTGTAGTGAAAAGTGACAAGGGACTGATCAACCCATCAGAACCACCTAACAACCAATAACACCCCCCAGGTGACCTTAATGGCCAATCCAGTATGTCTTCTAGGAAACCTTTTTGGGTTCATAGTCAATTGGTGACATCGTAATGCACATCTTGGTGTCCTTTGCATAGTCGGTAATTTCTGTTCATGTAGATATAAAAAAAAAGGGCCCATAAGGTACAACCTTTGGTGATGCCACATGTGTTTTCTGTGGTCTCTGATCTTAAGTTGCCTACTGACACAAAAAATTCCTGCGCTTCAAGTACGATTCCAACCAGTAAAGTGCTGGACCAGAAAGGCCAACCAAGTTTTCCTGACGCTCTATAAAACAATAATATTATTTAATGCTGTGCTAAGATCCAATACAAAAGGCTTAAAGAAACAAGAGCAGTGGAAAGTGAACCTTCAGCACAAAGAATACAACACTGATGCCTCACTTTTCAGCTTTTTATTTAGCAGAAGCTATTAAAAACCATGTATAGCATTTGGCCGTAAATGCTGTACAATAAAATGTTTCCCCAGTAAAACATGAAAAATTAAAGAGGCATTGTGCATTACAGTCTTTCAAGAAATCTAAATAAATTAAAGGTGTGAACTTACATTTTCAGTTACCTACATTAAATGGATCCAAGATAGTCAGAAAACTCTAACTTGATCCTTGTTTAATAGGCCACATTAAAAAGACGTTAAAAACGTCTCAACAGTAAAACAACAGGGAGCAGACAAGTGTTGGAAAACAGGAACTGATGATCACCAAGGAAACACGGATGAGCAGGCTCAGTAATTCCTCCATGTGAATTAAACCCAGGTGACCTTAAACTACACACACAAACACACCCACACACACAAATAAAGAGAACTGGGAATAACGAGCTCTAATTGAAAGTGCCCAGCTCGCCTGTTATAACACCCTTTTCAAATGAGAATTTTGAGACGCGAGCCAATCATGATGCACTCGAGGAGCTTAGGGTAATGACAGAAAAACGAGGGAGAATCGACATAAAATGCCAGAAAATCTGCCCTATTTTACAGAGTTTGTACAAGGACATGAAGAACAGTGAGAGCAGAAAACATGTCTGCTCTTTCAGAAGAGATGAAATACGCTGAATAATTATGATAAAGAAAAAAAAACATGCATAGGATGTTAAAGATTTATTTTCTGATACTCAAGGACAGGTTTGCTTCCAGTGTGCTACTTTTCTTTAGGAAAACTAGGACGAGGCAGCAGTGTGTGTTGCTCAGTACCTGCTGGAGTATCAAGTTGATCCTATCCACTTCGCAGTCGATGAGAAAGCGTTTCTCCTGTCGGCGGTCCATCTCCTCGATGATGCGTCTGTACTCTGTGGGGTCCACAATGTTCCCAACCGAGCGAGCTGTCACCTGCCAGTTATTGGCTACAGCAGACTCCATTATGGCCTGGAGGATTGCAAAACCTTGGGGGAGATAAAGGAGGAAGAGCTCCGTCACTGAACAGAGTTTTTTTTTAAATTTTCATCACAAGGTTGCATAGAACTTGATGACACAGACTTAGTGAGGAACAAACATTAGATCTGTGCTTTCACATTTCCATAATATATTAAATACTGTAGGTTGGTTTGTAAGGAAACTGAGTCTTGCTGATGTGCTCCTTAAATTTTCTCAGATTTAGATGTTGTATTAGCCATTTGTTCCAGAACAAAACAAAAGTTGAATTTTGCTAAGCTTATATAAAGAAGTAAATTTTAAAGGATAGAGCCAAATTGGTCTATTATTGCGCTACTTAAGGTGGCTGCATGTCAGGTCTAACACCTAAAACACTGTAAAACAAGAAAAGAAATTCAGAAATTTTTTTTACTCGCAAGGAGAGTAGGAAGAGACCATGCAGGTACATCTCCACCCCACTCTGCCGGTCTTCAGCTTTCTCCTCGCTATTTATTAAAGTCAGAGGGGGGGTCCCTAGTTATACAAGCTGAGGTTGCGCTAAAGGAATAGGAAACAAGAACTACAATTCAATTTGCAGCCCCAGTGAACAGGTCAATTTGCATTTAAATGTCTTGCGATCAAATGGTCAGAGAACCTCCTGGTTTCGTTAAGCTTGAGCAATACTTCCTGAGAGTTGACCTATACCGCTTGTGCAACACCTCTCTGGAACAGTAATATGTCACACATTATACATCATACGAACAAGCATTAAGTATCTTAAACATAATTATTCCAGCACTGCACGTTGTAGTAGCTCTGCTAGCTTGACTCTAATTTGTTTTTTTTACTGAACGTTAGTTCCTACATTTTTGGATCAGTTTCCTTTTTTTGATGATTTTAGCCTCTGTTGTTGAATGCTGTGAAACTTGAAGGATTTTCACTGATATTTTTGTCCTTTTGGATACTTTTGATGCGTAACCACAGCAACCATAGCAAGTTGATTTTTTTTCACACCTCTTACATCTGCTGAAATAATACTTCAACTACTTTGGTAAGTACAAGATGAGATCAAAAGGAGATGAGATCTCAATGTAATGACGAGTGTGTGACTGATTACATAAACCTCTGTGTAGATAACAACGTCCAATTCCCAAATAATAAGCCATGGATGACAAGTGATCTGAAGCAACTGCTTAACAAGAAAAAACAAGCAATGATGAGGAGTAAACAGAAGCAACTCAAGGTAAAGATCAGAGAAAGCTTGGAGGCCTGAAACCAAGGTCCAGTAGAACAATATCAGAGATGTGTGGTCAGATTGTGAGAAGATCACAGGCTTCAGAAGGATGATCAAACAGATGGAAGTCTGGACAGAGCCAATGAACTGAATCCATTCTTCAACAGGTTCAGGAACAATCTCAGCATCTTTCTCTACTGCCCACAGTCACATGGACATCCTGCCCTCCTCTGCCATTGACCCTCCTGCTTCTATTAGTTTGTTATCAGCCAAATCAGGAGATGGTTCTGCTGCCTCCGCCTTTCACATACTTTGGCTAGAAGTCAAGTAAAGAGGCATCTGGAGAGATTGAATCAAAATAGGTCACCAGGTCCAGACGGTGTCAGCCCCAGAGTCTTTAAGGCCTATGCAAAGCAGCTATGTCAGATTCTACAGCACCTTTTCAACCTTAGCCTGACCCAGGAGACACTTTCAGTGATGTGGAGGACCTCCTCAGCCAACCGTCCTCAATGCTGAACTGTTTTATTATTGCATAATTCCTTTTCTTCATCTTTATGTGCATAATAGCGTTGTTAAGCTGAGTTTCACTTACTTATTTCAGTGTTTTTAACTCAAGCATGCTTAACCCAAAATTGAATTATTTTTGTTGATGATTTCATGTAATTTGTGATGGAAATTGTGTGCAGTTAACAGTTCGACCATGATTTGAGCTCTAATCACACTTTTATCGGTTGTCCTAACACAGCCAGTTGGATGTATGTTCACAAAAAAAAAACACATGACATTTCGAAATGTATTTGAATAATTATCAAATAACATACATGCATACAACTGCACAATTAGAGCTGACAGTCTAAGATATGGTAACTGATAATCCTCCTACCTATCCCCTTGCTGCACAGGTTCACAACGTTGCACCTGAAAATTTCATTCAAATTTTATTTTGAATGAAATCGTGGCCCCAAAAGTTGGCATTAAATCCAATCTTTAAAATAAAATCTGTATGAAAACGAATATTAAAAAAGATTCTTAAAAACTCAACTCTTAGAACTGAGCGTCCGTCCCGTTCGGTTAATCTCTACTGGATTGGTCATGTCTGACTTAGCCGCTTCCTGTCTGGTGGAGGAGTTAAACTGACAACTTCAAAGCCAGCAACTGACCTGGGCAGCAACAATATGGCTAGAAAACATAAACTGACAGCAAAGCAGTAAATTGGGCCGCAGCTTAGACGGCACAATTGATGGCAGTCAACAACTCTGTCACTCTGTGATGAATCAGTGATTGAAGTATAAGAAAGGGAGAAGCTGAGCTGACAGGAAGAGGCTGAGCTGTGACACAGAAAAGGTCTCATCCCAGTGATGGGAGGCTCTGAATAGTTCATTCATTAAAGGTTTCAGGATTTATGGGCAGCAGTGACACACTGTTAGTAGATCAGCTGAAAACAGACACAGCTAGGTTTTAGCTTCATTGAATCATCCAAAGTTGGTGTGATGCATATAAAGAAAGCGTCTGGGTGACATGTTTTAGGTCTCCTGGTAAAGGGAAGATTGTTTTTGAACATATTAAAAACATGAGACTATATTTCTATAAATAAATAAAATAATTCTTATAATTTTTAATCAAAGTGATAAAAAGCTTGTGTAGCAGAAAACATTCAGATTAGCTTCTTACTAAATGGTTAAAAATATTAACATATGAAGGTTGCATACATGATATTAATTACAGACATGTAATTTTCTTTAGTGTGAAGTCATTGTTTGGCTAATAGATGTGAATGAGAGAAAATGGGTCACAGAAACATGCAGGAATGTTTTCAATTATTCATCATCATCTAAATAAACACTTAAAATCAGTTTTTCTACCTTATTTATTAGTACTATCTATATCTGATTTTGATGTCCCTTCTGTGGTGCAGCACACCAAGTTTACATCTTTAAAGAGGGGAACCCAAGTTAAAGGTTATCAAGCAAAAAAACTTTTCCATGTCTGTGATGAAGCTGTGATGAGTTGCTGTGACTCCCAGCAAATCATAATAACTGTAAAAACAGTAAATACTTTTTAACAGTGGGAAATTATTCCCAACTTTCAAATGATATTGCATAACACTTTCATTAGATCACCAAAGTTTAAAAAGCTCCCATCATAATCAGAATCAGTTTGCAACATTACCAGAACATTGCGTGAACATCACCGCTATAAAATTATAACTTATGATAATGTCACAATATTCTGAGGTTAAAGAAGCAGTCTACTTTAACACAAACTGTTAGATGGAAGCTCAGTCTCCGCTCTGACTTCTGATGCTCACCTCAGGCTGCTGTTTGATGATCTTGCTTGATAACTATCAAAGCTTTGCTCTTAATAAACATATTTTCCTCTCAAAAAATTACAATTTTTAATATGATAAGTTCTCCTCTTAATATTATGGCCTTACCTTCAAATTATCCTTATCTCTTAAACTGTGTTATAGTATTTAAGCCCCTTTAGTCTGATACCCTGAAATAAATTCATCCAGCTGCCCTCAGAAGTCAACTATCTCAGCATAAACACTCATAGTGGTGGTTGCCATGACTTCATGTGGTTGACATGATGCAGTATAAATGTAAAACAATGAAACATGCCTATAGTCAAGCATGCCTTTGGGGGAGTGGCGGCCTAGTGGTCAGGGCATAGGGCTTGGAATCCTGAGGTTGTGAGTTCAAAACTCACTACCATTCTGCATCTCTGAGCAAAGTACCTTAAATCCCGACTGCTTGCCAAGCGCTGCTCCGTGGCAGCCTCCTGCTCGCAAAAAGGGGATGAGTTAAATGCAGAGATTTAATTTCTCCATTGTGAGATCAATAAAATTCAGTTTATTTTATTTATTTATAAAGGCCTCATAGAAAATTTAAAGAACAACAGTGAACCAGTGGTATCATAAGGATCAAGAATCACTGGGATTAAATAATAATATAAAGCTATAGTGGTGGATTTCTGCTATTTTTGAAAAGATGCACATGCATAACCCTGTACCCACTCCTGGGAGGGAACGCCTGTTAAATGCACGAGCCCATTTCTCCTTGTCCATGCTCTGTTTAAAAGTTTGTGTCTGCATCGCTCATACAAGCTTACTTTTCAAAAGAAGGTTTGCAATTTTTCCACTATGTCAGACTCATCACCGGTAAATGAAGATGGGGACGAGCACATAGGACAGCCTTATGGAAACATATCACCAGAATGATTGACAACCAGAAGGACCACTTATTTAAATGATCCACTCGGAAAAAAAAACATCCTCCACTGTACGTTTAAGTTCTGACAAACTGCAAACCTATAAAGACATGAATCCACATCTTCAGCTTGGTCTCAGATTAAATCATTTTCCTTCCTTTACTCACTACTTTCTCTTGGCTTATGTCTTGATATTCCAATGAGAAACATTAGCGTTTGTAGTTTGAACATGACAGAATGTAAAAAAGGTCAAGGTGTCTGAACAGTTTATTGAAGCCACACCTCCCTACCACCATTCGCTTTCATGTACTTCCTGTCTTACAATTGAAACTCCTTTTTTCTGCCTTATCTGATCATGTAACTTCTTGATCTGGGCGTTTAGTTAGAAAGCTCGATCACCTGCTGCCCTATCTAACAGCCTTGCTGCTACCATGGTTACTCATCATAAAAGATTTGTAAAAAGTGGCAGAAGTACCAACGGAAATGACTCAGACATCACAGCTTTCAAATCAGAGTACAAAACCAGACATAAAAAAAGCCTCCTGGCTGACCGGAGCTGCTGTCAGCGATGCAACCTCTTCCCAGAAA